AGGTAGTGAAACATGAAAATGGTCTAAATCAATACCCGTACATACTCCCCATTGAATTGTACTATCCGCGAAATATACCCTGTTAACCACCCCCTCTCCCTGGACGTGATCAAAATCGACAACAAACGATGAGAAACTATAGTTATATTCATTCTAGACTCTAGAAAGTGGGTTTCCCCTTAAAGACAATGGGCTATAGGCAAGGGTTTTTCAAGTCAGATCTCTTTCGGTTTGACAGCTTTTCTGCAGCGTAAAATAAGTTATTAGATTTTGTTTGATAATAGAAAATCCCACGTAATACATGCCTAAAATGAAGAAATTAAAAGGTTTTTGGGTTTTCCAGACAGAAGGTAAGGTGATGATAACGACATAATAGTCTAGGAAATTGCACCATATATTAATTGCGGAAAACGTCTAGGCACTTCACTTAACAAGCTTTGTCGCTTTGATAAGTTCAACGACATGAAGAACTCTCAAGCTTCATCAAAAAATTATCTTTTCATTAATCTTAATATATTCATCACCACATTAGGTTTGCGCAATATAATGTCTCCCGGAGATAAAATCGAAAATTCTTGCAAAGAAGCCGCTTTTTCCAATTTCTCCTCCCAGAAATATATATTACTTTATTCATATTGAGAAGACATTTCAGTGCAATTGGCAATACTAGAACATCTCCGATTTCCTCCACGTCGCCCATCAATAAATTTTCCAAATGAAATGGTTCACTGGGTTAGTCTTCAGCCAAATTAGTTCACAGGTTTCACCTTGGGGACCTTTACGCCACAGTTTTTCTTAAAATCGTAAGAATATATCCTTTTCTATTTTACTATGCCAAATATATGATTAAACATTTGCACCGTTTCTTTAAATATTGGTCAGACTGTCGTACTTACAAACAAGATCTTGCCTTATAGACAAACAGGCAAACGAATGTACAGACCATTGGTTGAGGAGATTAATTTGTTTCACTTAATGTTTGGCTCGGGTTTTCATTTTTCTTACTCGTGTACTTTAAACCCAAGTTGATTTTTTTATCTATTCACTGCAATGAACTACATTTCAGGTAAACTCCAACCTTTTCTTGAAAACACCACGGCGCATGCGTCAGTACTCTCCATTACTTTGATCAGTCTCGAGAGATACTGCGCCATCTGTCGGCCATTTCACGCTCAGACAATGTGCACCACTCCTCGGACCGTGAAGATGATCTTGGTCACGTGGGTCATCGCCCTCGTGTCCTCGTCGCCATTTTTGGCCATTGCCAAAGTGATCGATGCCACGTACGTTGTCAATCAAGAGGCAGTCAAGATCTGTTCCACCGCCATAGACACTAACTGGAAACAAGTATATATTGTTCTGCTGTTCTTGCTGTATTTCTGTATACCAATACTTGTTTTAATGGTAATATATATACGGATAGGAACAGTTCTGGTTGCCGAGGGGGTAACACTGACCAAGGCGAATGGTAGAAGGACAAAACAGCGGAGACAGCTCGTGGGACTTCTTGTTGGAATTATAGTGATGTTCTTTGTGTGTGTGCTTCCCGTTCGTATTTTTACGCTTTGGCTTATATTTGGCACATCCGATTCGAAGCAGTGGTTATCAATCGACTCCCAGCTCAATTTGCTGTCTTTCGTCCGGATGGCTTTTTACCTGAACAGTGCAGTAAATCCGGTACTTTACAATATGCTTTCGTCCAATTTTCGGCACGCGTTTGCTACGACCGTGTTCGTTTGCAAGCGCCGCAGACGCCGCCGCAGGGTGTTGCTCCACGAGCAGAGATATGGCTATTTTAGATGGAGAGGTCGGTCGGAAAGGTTCGCCTACGCTACCGTTGCTACCCGTTCAGACAGACGTTTTTCGCAACTGAGAGGCAGGAGACCGGAAGCTAGTGCGGGCCTGATATTTTCAAACCCAGCGCCACCTATTTTACCGACGCACAGGCGCCTACCTCGCAGCCCGCCTCTCTGCCTCGTTACAAGCGTTTAATCATCAAGCATATGGGAGCACAGTATACATTTTGGCAACATATATTCGCAAGAAGGGATTTATTTTGGATAGGTCTAGATCAAAAATCTCAGTTGAGCAACTGAGATACATTCTAAGTTATAGAAACCATATATAACGTTACAGTTATTATTAATCTGTATTAATACGTTTAGGTCTTTAATATGAATTTATAAATAAAATTTAATAAAAAAAAGGGATGGACGCTTGGCTTGTTTATTAATATTCTGGTCCCTGAATATTTTATCTAACATAATTTGGTACTTCGTTTTCCTTTTTATAGTCTATTTTGTTCAAATGCGTACATGTACGTACGTTCTAATCAGCTGGTCAAACCGTTCACCTTAAAGATGCATACAAAGTCAATTTTTTGCCACAAAAATCGACCAAATGCCAGCATATAGTTTCAAGTAGTATAACTAAGAGAATTACCAAAAGGCGTTGTTTAAATTTACCCGAAAATGATGTTTGAACAGATTTTTCTGCTAGCATTCTCTGCTGTATGTCAATGGGGCAGAAAAGTAGGATTAATTTCCGACCAAAAATTTTAAGAAAGGAGCAGTCTTAAGCTCTTTTATGGCTGATAGAGTTATCTATTCAGTTTATCCCTTGGCATGTCAAATTTATTTGAGTCGTATAGGAAACTAGTAGAAGTGGTTTACATGTGTTACTGGGAATCCACGCTCCACCGTTGCTCAGTTTGTATGTACCTTTAATATTAATGGCAATATTTATTTTGGCCTCTCTCCGCCCTCGTCACACTTCTGATTAGTACTATGTACCATTCTTTCTGTTCACAAACAAAAAAAGTGCTGTATATAGTCAGAAATTTTATTAAATATCTTACTAAAAACCAAAGATATTCTACTGGGGATAGTAATTGTTTTCCTAGCAGTGGAAACAAGTAGAAACAAAAAGCTTCTCCATTTTCCATTTTTTGCTCTATTTTGTCAAGTAGAAATCAGTTGTTTTCGAGCAAGTACGTCTGAGACAAACCCGAGAAAGGTAAAGATCACAAAACCACAGCTACACGGAGAGATGTTCTGATAACAGGTTTCATGAGCCTTAGAAAAAAAAACATATATTGAAGGTTTGAATCAAAGTCACATAAGGAGTAGAAACGTATTATCTCTGTCCCACACAAAGCCGACCACCCATCGCTCTCCATAGAACGCAAGACGACGTCTTCCTCATATCCGCATTACTTATCGGGCGTTTGATTTATCTTAGCACAAAAAGCTACTTTCAGCACTATTTTAACTATTGCATGACTTAGAAAACAGACCATTCGTTGGCTTTCTCTAGATTGTTTCTAAGTGTCTACCTAATAAAGAATAAAATTTCTACTTTACTAGACATTTCAACACTTTTTTTTCTTTATTTCCAAGGTATATCTTTAAAAATACAGTCTTTTCTTTAGCTTCAACTTCGACGTTTCAGAGACAAGGCACCCATAAACTGTAAATTGAAACTGACGAATTGCTGTAACGACAGTAAATAAATGAATAAATTAAAAAACTACAAATGAAATTTGAGAAAAGATAAAAATTAAGCTAAAATACAGGTTTAAAGGGATAATAACTCTTCGTATGAGATCTATATTTCACAATTAAAACATTGTGAATAGCTCATAGAAATATAATATTTTCTTTTTTACCACAAAAACGGCAGTTAAAGCTATTATTCTGATATCTGAGCTTGTCTTTAGACCACGTGACCTCCACTGATGCCTATACTCTGTTAAAATCTCTTAAGAGATTTTAACAAAAACCAAACTTTTTAGAAAAAAAAAACAGGGAGTAACTTTGAATGTAAAAATGGATTCATTAACCATTGGTAAGTATGGGAAAATTGTTGTTTGCTCTAGGAAAATTCATTTTTTGGCCGAAACGAAGAGTTATTATCCCTTTAAACATCGCTACATTTTTGGAGCTTTCCAATAGGATGTATCTCAGCGTTGAAGAAAATAAGTAAATTGGTAAAAAAAAATTGGCTAAAATTCTTTCTTTGCAGTGTAATGATCTCATCCGAAGACCACCCCCACCCTTTCTTTATCAACAAAGACCTTTCAGATGGGCCGTTAAGGTTTAGCATGGCAGGAGAAGAAGTCCATCTCCGAAATATTGTCAGCACAAAGTGTAGAGGTTTTGAGAGCCATGTCTTGTCTTACTTGTTGTGCGGCTCACGGCTTCGATTCAGAAACAGTGAGCGAGACAGACACTTGGGCAATTACAAGGTCCATACGGACCCCTCAGAGCGAAATATTTGGATCGATAACATTGGTAGAGACGGAAAGAAACGGGAAGAAATGCACGGTTAAGAACTGGTTTTATCGAGACAATTATACACCGTCTTTTATTGAGCTGTTAATTCCCAAACTCAGTGTTGAGTGAATGGAAACCCTGGGTCACACTGCGCTTGCAACCTTTTGTCAACCTTTTAGGAACCTCAGACGCAAGGAGGTTGTCATAGGTTTTGAAGTGGTTGCATAAGGTTGCTAACAGGTTACCATCTTTGACAGATAAAAACCATTTTTTAGTGCACCAACAACCAGTGCGACTAAAGGTGAAAAATATCGGTATCCCAAAGGTTGCCTATCGGTCTCTTCTTTGTTGCCAGTGGGTCGCTAAAACCGGTCGCATATCACTTGTAACTGCATGAGCCATTGACGGACTTAAATGACTTGGACGCTTACAAGTTTCTTACCGGTCGCAAGGAGTAAGAACCATAACGCTAAAAGGTTGTTGATGTATCTGCATTGTCGATAGACAGCTTTTAGTCGGTTGGTCGCTAACAAGTATTTTACCGATCGCAATCATGTCGCTGGAAGATTATAAGATAGGCGTAGGATGGTGGCATGTATGGGCGTTGACTTTTTTTTCATGTTTTGTTTAATGCCTTCAAAATATCATGTAAAATTATAATATTTTCCAAGAACAATTTGTATTTTATGCCAAGATTTAACACTAATTGAAAAGGTTTGCACTTATTTTAGGTTTACGAGACTGAATTTGTTTCCATTTGGGGCTTAAGTACCAATGTGCTAATTTTTGACGCTATGTTTAAATCATTGGTAAAAATGTCGAAACCCATAATGTTACATCACTGTCACTCATTTAAATTTTGCAAAGCCATGTTTTCTGAGTAAACAATTTAATGAAAAGAAGGATGCATAGTAAACGGTAAGTAAAAAAATAATTTAATCGGAAATGTATTATATAATTTACTCTCATATTTCAGCCATTAAAATTACTTACAAATAATAGGTACAAAAAGGTCCAAGAACCATTAATAAAAAGTAGTTTCAGGAAATACAATTTAACATCCTTCCAGTGCTTGGTATCCTCACCACAAGGATGATATTGTTAAAAGTATGCGCACGACCTGTCACGATTTAATTACGTTGTTTTGTAAGTGGTAAACGCCTGATGCTAAGGGACAAAGGGAAAACCGCACAATTATTTGCATATCAATAAGGGACCTATTGGCAACCGGGTGGATACCACATAGGTTTTTCGGTAGCCTGGGGGTTGTCGTTGATGCACCGAGGACAGGTGTAACGAAACCGAAGGTCCCTGTAACAGGAAGATCGTACTCCACTTAGTTACCATGGTTAGGGTTAGCCTGACCTAAAGTGGGTCGGGATCTAGAGCGAGGCTTACCTGTGCAAATTAATGGGAAGCGGACTCTCTACCAGGGGGGACTCTCTGCCACGTTACAATATGTTAAGAATTTAAACACGCTTTTACCGTCTACGTTTGCAACATATATGATCTGTGCGACCTTCGGTTAACAGTCTGCTATCGACCGCTACATCCAGCATATTATAACAAAGATTGAATTTTAGATTCCACCTACTCTTTGGAGGCAAAAAAGCAACGCAAGTTAAAAAGTAAATGAAATTTTATTCCACCATGTGCATAGACATTCAGACAAACGGTAAATATTACTTAGTATGTTTGGGGGGATTCTCACTCAAAGACACGTCCTTGGTAACCGCCTCCCATTTTTCGTTTCCTAAAGTTCAGAACAGAATTTATTTTATGTGTACGTGTAACAGTAAAATTGAGGTATACTGATTTGGTTTAACACCGGTATTCCAAGTTCTGAAACGTTACCAGCGAAATATAAACATCCATTAGATGAGGTACATCTTGCTGAATCAGTCTACCCGATGAAAACGGCGAAAGGTACCTACGTACCATATTCAATGTCAGAATAAAAACCTTTAAAAACAAGTTTTTTTTTCTTGCACGCAAACTATTTACAGTTTCTTTTTTAATCACATCCGCAAGAAAAATCAATGATTCGTGATATGTCCCTGTACCATAGGTGACATGTGCTTTTATACAAGTTCTTTGTGTGCGGCTCGAGCAGAGGTAGGGAAATATGGTTGCGCTGACATGCGCAACGTGCATCTATTTTAAATATTTGGTTTTATATCATGTTCTCGAAAGGGCGAGATAAAAAGACATTCTCTGATCCCTATCTTTAAATGAAATAGTTGCAATCGAAGTAAAATCACAAAAGTCCTTTGGAAGGCGTAGTTATGCAATGTTTCACATTCCGTTGAATAATCCACCAATTTTGTAGTACATGTACGTGCTTCCTCTCCAACAAGTTTATTTCCTTTCGATGTGTCTCAAAAGGTTAATCGCTATCGCTGTCGCTTCCACTGTCACCTGCAATGTCTAAAGGTCCATATGCATAACGACCGAAAGAATCAGGATCCTTTGACCACGTGTAGTCGGCGTAAACTTCCCGGAAGTGAGCAAGGTCCATACCATACTTTCCATTCTGGAAAAAAACACCAACGATTCAATTTACAACAAATATTGATGTTTTAACGTTCAAAATTCAACATTTTTACCTAAAGACATAGTTTTTAATATCGTATCAGCTATTATCGCGATACAGCTTGAGGTGAGCGTATAAAGCTTCGGCGGCTTGCCACCTTTAATTAAACTAACTAATTTTAGACCTTTTGTGAGAATAAAGATGTTAAAAAAATTGCAATACAGCATCTGCAATAGAACGATTTTTATATATATAAGTTTCAAGATCATTTATCCGCGATTCCTTATACAATGTATAAGTTACAGTACTTGTCGAACAGACATGTTAAGTATCACGTTAAGAAAGGGACGACATTTTCCTCATCATGATCGCACAATAAAATACCTCCACTACCTTGGTTAAATGTGCCAAGTGCTCTTTTGCTGTGGCGATATCTACAGGAGCGCGTTTGTCAAATTTGGTCCAAAATTCACTGTACTCTTCGGCATCAATGAACCCGTCCTCTGAAATAACATTTAAGAAGATGTCGAATAATATACAATTTTTAAAAAGCACATACATACATACATCTGTATTTGGTCGCACCAGAAACTACTAAATATTATTCATATGATAATACTACTTGTAAGATAACGATAGTAGACAAGTTTCAAGAAGCGGTTGTTTAAATCAGCTCTTCTCCCGTCCAAAATTAGCAAATTTGTTAAAAACGGGAATAAATACAATTTTTGTAATTGCAACTTTATATGTTAAACATTAAAACTGGGAATAGACGTTAACCTCCTTTCCAATGAAAATAAGACAGCTAAAGAAATGAAGTAGCCGGGTGTAAATATTAACATCACCTTTTGCGGCAAAATACGGTGAGGGTAGACGAAAACAGACTAAAAATTCACGTATCAGTCAACATTTACAGTTTCTGCAAGAATATTTTTAAATCATCACGTACATAAAAAGATGGCACATCTAGTACACAATACAAATTGATGCTGTTCAGTCATTAAGAGCGCATTCACCCCAGTGATCTAACAGATCCACGTATTAAATTTGCCCGACCCACTCGAGTGCTTGTTACGTAATTCCCGCGGGGAATCTGTTCAGTGTCGAATCTCTAAAGCTTTATATGGGGTCGCTATATTTGATCTGAGGATCTTTTAGTCCGTTGTTCTGAATGCGCTCTGAGAGATCTTTGTTTGAAAACCCTACCACAACCCTGCCACTACAGATGGTGTCAACGCACCCAAGAAGCAACGTCAGATTTAACAATTCGAACTGAAAATCGGTCATAGTTGTCACTACATTCCACCAGGTTTTTACACCTCATGCAACGTCGGTTATTGACAGGTATTCAAAACACCTAAAACCGATTCCCAGTCTAGAGTTATTATAATCTGAACGAAGCGTAAAACCCTTGCAGAATAATACTAGTGCAAAGATTGCTTACTGTTCTTGTCCATAAGTATAAACTTGGCATCCGCAAGACTTTGTAAGAATGTCGGAAGATTGTCGAAAGACTTTCCTTTCGTTGTACTAGTTATGCTAGAGAGAAGGTACAGAAGACGAAGGTGTTAAGTGGAATCAAAAAGCGGCTTTTAACGAAGCAACCCGGTGAATTGCATCGCCCGCACGCTCTTATAACAAGGCTAGGTGCAAACTAAAAGAAAATGTATTAGTGCAACATGGCAAGGTTAGTACCAGTAACCAAAGGTAATTTTTAAGTTGTGTAGGGCGCTTTTAGCAGAGCGAAGTGCGAAATTGATTGTTACAGCGGTGAGTGATGAATGCACGTTTCCGGTTTGGCACTCGGATCCTCGGAACAATTCCTCTCCCTGATAGTAATGGTAATTTCCGTTTCCTGTCAATGTTACATTACATGAAAGGTTTTTTGCTCTTCTACAAAGAAATTGCGTCTATTTTGAGTGCCTTTTTCATAGAAGAATGATACACAGTGTATGCAATATGCGTCACCAAAGTTCACGAAGCATCCACCACGCTTTGGCAAAAAGCACCCACACCAAATTTTAGAACAAAATATAAATGAGCAACCATAAAAACCCTGTAAAGGACAAGAGAACTATCATCATACTGCGCATGCGTAACCAAAGGTCTAAACTGAAATCAAACGAAATGATAGTGAAAAACGAAAGTGAAGATCCCTCCATCCATGCGTCTGGGCTTACTTTTAGTGTCCATCAGCGCGAAAAAAGCGTCTGCTAACGTAAGGAGGAAAGTGGGCAGATTTTCAGGGGTCTTGGCCTTCGAAGTTGACGTGATGCTGAAATTGGAATAATAAGTAACGCTGAATGTTGGACAAGTTCATTTGACAATTCTATCAACATGTTTTTGTCTATTTTATACCAATAAGTTTGAGATCTACAAATATCACTGACAGTGCACACACAGACAAGTCTCAGTTTCGTGATCACGATAAGCATTCTTGTAACGAAATATAGTAATATGCATGGGGAAAAAACTTTATTTTCCCTATCAAAAGCTTCTGGTAAAAAAATAAGCATCAAATGATGCTACATTTAAAGACTTAGTCGGCATACGTTGAACGTTTTATCTGTCACAGTAAAATCTTGATAAAAAATTCCAATACTGTCGTGTAAAAGAACCAGAAAAGACAAACCCTGATCTAAACATACAAAGCGAATTTTGTTTACAACATAACATGAACAGAAAGACAGGCGATGTTTCTGTATTACTACTGCGGTTCTGGATAATTGTAGACAAATCCACATTGTGAACTAAAGCAGTGACAGGTTTGGAACCTGGCAAAACGATGTAAAATCACCACGATACTTAAGCCAAATTCGAACTAAAAGAGCATTACCCTCTCTCTCTCTCACACACACACACACATAATAATAATAATTTAATAAGAACAACAGTTTAATAATTCATATTTTTAAAAAATTCCAATTAGCTAAGCATCTGACCACACCAATGCTCTCTCTTACCTTGGATAATAGTCAAGCCATTCATCTATGGAAAGTTGTCCGTCTTTGTTTTCGTCCATAAACTTCAGCATTTTTTGCCAGTGTGCATCGAATTCCATCTCGAAGGCACGCAAAAGGGGGTCCCCGTCTTTCAAGTCGTATGCTTCCTTGATTTTCTGAACAAAAAGAAAGTTTATTTTCCTAAGTGAAATTGTCTGGCACGTAGACATATTATAGTTAATCGGTTATTTATATATTCAGATTTTATTTTTTCGACACGCGACGGAAAATTCACCCCATGCATTTATTTTTATCAACATATAATTTTTTTTCAAATTACCATTGAAATGTTGGTGGTCTCCACTTACTCAATAAAAGTGCCATTCGTTTTGAATATTGTGGCTTTGAATATTTTAATCATATAAGTCGTCCAATAGTTATCCATAACACGACTTACCATATCTGATGAAACATAAAATGACACTATATTTATAGCACAGTATCTTAATCAATAGTATACCCTGATAGGCAGATATCTCCTGGTCCCTTTCAGAAATGTCATGCATCATGCAATGGAAAAAACCCACGCAACATTTTCTAAGATATCTGTTCGGTGCTTCCATATCAATTATTCCCTATTTAATGAGACTCATATTTTGTTCATTTCCTCCAATACACAATGTAACGTGTTAGAATGCAAAGGTCACCGGTAACCTTTTTTTACTTAACAAAAGCCTTATGCCAATAACCTCATCCTTAAATTCCACAAAGAAATAAATGCTTCATGTATCTTTACTCTTTCGGAAGCGATGTAAAGGTATATTCAGAATCAAATTAATGTGTGGACTAACTGATCCGCGGATCAAATATGACCGACCCACTTGAAAGTTAGTCCCGTAATCCACGCGGGAAATCCATGCCGGGGTTACGCGGAAAACTTTCAAGTGGGCCTGCCATATTTGATCCGGGAATAAGTAAGTCCGCGGATCATATTGGTTCTGAACAGGACCTTAAATCCAAAAGATGTGACGCACGCGTTACTATGCGCGTGATTATCAGTTACACAACAAACCTATCGGAGAGGTTAAATAAAGGTGATAAGCTGGTTAACGAGCGAGATCGACCCTAATTTCCAAGAAATCAATTTTCCAAATGAACAAAAAAATTGGTGTGAAAAGGAGAAAACTTGTAAGCTTGCAAATTAGTCATAATCTAGTTCAAAACACACACACACACATATACACATCATCATAAATTTAAAAGCCAAAAATAAAAATAAATCTCGTTAACCAACTTCATCATATCTTGTGCATATAAATAATAAAAATAATAATAATTATAATAATCTTTATTGGAGAATCGCAACCCGGAGGTTGAAGTTATACAATTATATATGAATATTCAAGTCAAGGAAGCCTGGTCATTTTTACACTGGTGCACTCCGTAGACGGTCTCACCTCCCTGGGAAGCATACAGCTCGGCTGCCATATTAGGCGCTCATAGCTAATATATCATTTCTGCACTGCCTGACCAGGCCCCTGCTTCAACCCCTTAGTGCTGAGTGCCAAGCAGGGAGACAGCAGGTACCGTTTATAAAGGACTGGTATGTCCCCGGACGGGTTTTGAACCCACGACCTCCTGCTCCGGAGGCGGACACTCTAACCACAAGGCCATCAACAGAATCAACAGAATTTGGAATCATAGGCAAAAGTTGCAAAAACTAAAAATCCTGAAAAGCGTGCAATTTTCCATCGCATTTAGACCATATGAAAAAGAAAAACGATCAAAACCAAGAAAAAAAATTTGAAACCAGGCAATCTCCTGAAACATGTCACTCATGTAGTGACGGTAATCTAAAAATAGTCTCCGTTATATGCCGTTTAAGCGGGAACTTGTTTCGTTCTGAACAACAACAAAGAAATGCCCATTTTCATTTATATGTAATTTCTTACTGATACCACGAAATTAACCATTTTTTAATTGTACGCCTATTTTTCTTAATGATCAATTAAAAGTGATGAAGTAATAAAAAAACTTACTGCAATATAATTGTCATAATCTTCACGTTCCACGAATCCATCATCATCAATATCTGAAACAATAGATAATTACTCAATATATTCGAACAACAAAGATAAATTCCTCTGAAATTTTCTTTTAGTAATACGAAGCAATTTTGAATCAAAAGTTTTGAAAAATTAACTGCTTCTTTTAAGAATGCTGTTCCCACTGGTGCTGTTCAAAATAAATAAACAACAGACAACAAATCAACAGGTGACAGTGTACATAGATTTCGTTAGAAGCAGCAATGCGGTAGCGGTGCAGCACATTTTCGCAAACGCATTCCCATATATCACATCAATGTAGCAGCCGTCACGTACTTCTGACACACGGTGCATTTGTACCAGCACGAAGCCAACAATGCCGACAGCACATAGGTATTTTAACTTTCTCTATATTAATAACTATACTCTTCCAGTAACAGCAGCTCATACGAACGTCACACTACGTGGCTCATTACTTTCCAACGGTCAGACACGATGTTTTCGTGACTGCAAAGTTACGTGGTCGTTTGTTTAATAATCACATCTTTTCTTAGAAAATAACACGCACATAGCTGCCCAACGGCAAGTGACATCATTGCGCATGCTATAATGATGTAATATATAAAGACTGCACCTTATCTACAGTCTTATCTGGAGGAGGATTATATAAAACATACCACTCCGATATTTGCATTTTTTTCATAATGGTGAAAATGCAGGCAAACATTTACCGGATCTCAATAGGCAAATGAAAATGTGTCTCGGGAAATCACAAAATATCAATTTTTCAGTTAGTATTCAAAAGATTTGAACGATTTGAAGAGCTTAATAAATAATTGTTCAAAATCCAAGAGAATTACCGAATTTTACTTTTTGATCCAAAGCTCCCTTTAAGTTCCCGTTTAGTTCATCAATATCATTAACTCAACCTATATACAGCCGTAATTTGCCTCCATGAAATAAATAAACAAATAAATCGCAACTCACCATACAAATCAAACTTTCGTTTCAATTTCGACTTTTGAAACTGGTTTAATTTTTTGCCCTTGGCGACTCCCTCCATCATTGTGCGTACAAGCGAAATAGCAGCAGGGCGGACCACTGAAATTAACAATATGAAAAATTAGAGGAGTTTTTATCAAAATATCCTTATTTCAGTGACATTGTCTCATTACGATCCAGTCTTACGACTTATAGCCACATATCGATAAAATATATTGTTTACACATTTTTTCCGAACTGGAAAAAAATCGCCGCCTTTCTATGAAGTCCCTTAACTCACCCATGTTGGGTGCGTTTGCAGCCGCAGACCTCACCATCTGTGGGACAACCCGAGACACCGCCCTCAACATCTTTAATTCTGGAAAATGACAGATGAAAGATATTTTTTAAAATCTATTCAAAAATATTTATCAACATTTCCTACACATCTGGTTTTAATCCCATAAATTATTCATTCACAAATCAAATGATATTTTGTAAAATGTGAAATGTCGGACGTGGGGCGTCTGGCGTATATATATCTATAGCGTCTGATCTTAGCGAGTGCAAAGTGAAGGCATTCTGAACACCTGCTGCTTGTTAAATCTTGTTAAAACTTGGGAACTGTGTCACATTACCGACTGGTGTGTTATTGTCGTCGGTTTACTTTGGTCTGAGCTTATAGTATGAATATAAATGGCCACGAAATATGCAAAAAGCAACTGTCATATTAAAAAGCAGAATTTCGGGAGGGGGGGGGGTGAACAGCAGACAGCCGTTCAGCATCGGATCCTTTCTCGCCCTCACCCCCCCAAAAAAGTGTCACGTACGAAATGATACAAAGACAAGCTCTTTCCCCACCCCTATTTCTATATATTACAGTTATTTTTTTCCTCATATACTGTCGTGCATTTGCCGATCCTGGCAAGACTTATTTCTATCCTTGCACACCCAACCCCCTTAGAAAAAATATGGATCCATCGGTGATACTGTGCCTCTGTTCACTGGCCGTGGTCATAAAGCCCATTCACCGTGAGTAATGTAGTGCAAAGCCGACAAACTTGACCTACATAAACAAGTTTCCATGGGCATTTGAGGCCTACTAGGTGACCCGTAATAGCTTAACGTCAGCGTGCACAGCCGGCAGCAGACAAAGTTAATACCGTTTACTAGGGTCGCAGATTCTTCAGGTGCAATTTTCCCCGAAGAAATGTGCCATGAATATGCCTGACACGTCTGTGAATATCTCGTCAAAAAATCAATCTGTGGCCCTGGTAAAGGGTCCTAACTTTATAGTTTGTTCTAACACACGTAGAAACCTTCGTTCTGAATATTCATAGTTTCAGTTCCCAAGAGATATAAACCAAGGACGGTAATAAACCACCCATAATAATATGCACTTTTATACTGGCTCAGAAGACATGTATAAACGACATGGCAGTCTATTACTATGTTAAGTAAAATAATTTCTAGGGTCTCAGGTACGTAAAGAAAAATGTGTGAGGTCATTTGGCTCACATTTATAAGGGACTGCATAAAAAAGGAGTAGTAAGGTGGAATTAAAGAATGTTCCGATGTAACAGGAATGGAAGTCCACTTGGAACCGTAGTCCGCTTCCTATTACTTTGTACAGGTGACATTAGTCCCATATACTAACCCCAATACTCCAACTAACCCTAACCTGTACTAATCATATGGGAGCCCGGACTTCCATTCCTAGGACTTCCATTCCTGTTACACCGGTCTATCCCAAGGAGTGCGCCATATTATATAAAACAGAATTCATTAAATGATTTCGTGATAAAATTCATAATTTTCACTATTCATCTTGTCACGCACGTCTTTTGAGAACAATAAGCGACATACAAAATAGACAGAAATGCGGTACACAAGGCCATTTAGAGATAGATGGATGTCAACGAACTGCCCATCTTTATCGAAAGAGAAAAACAGAAACCCAAATAATTCCATCACCACAAACGTTCATATTTGAAAGTTTATTATAACCCCAGTATGCGTGACGTTCTTACACAGTGTTACAAGTAATGCTTCAAATAATAGGCCTGGCATTTCAGTATCTCTAGTGCGAGTCAGAGGTGTATCCTTTATAGCCAAGACTTTTGGAATAAAATTATTTGCTAGGTTTTATAATTATGTGTGGGTGTGGGCGAAAACGGGAGTCACCCTACTGAACGTAGGTTGGGAACCGATAGATGAAAATAAATAAATTTAGCTACAATGACTTAGCACATAATTATTAAAGGTGGGGCTTATATAATATGCCGCCTGCGGATTTACCAGAATCACAGACTGATAATTTTATTCACAAGATATTCACAGATAAGCATCTCATTCAGGCATTCTTAATACAATTATCTACTGTCCAACGAGAATTTTGGTACAGAATAAATTCATCGCACATTTCGCCTCTACAGTACAGAGCATGTTACATGTTATAATTCGTTTTTTGTTCGGTGAGGAAAACCCTGAATATAACAGTCACCACCTTGTATTCAAGCTATATATTATCGGATACTTTCTTTCGATTCCTTAGACAGGCCTACACAACTGATAATACGAATTATATTAGACCTAAAATTTCATTCAAAAGTTAATATATTTTGACAGAAGCGCTTTTTTTGTATTAATTTTTTTAAAGTGACATGTGAATATACAGGTATGTATAAATATATAAATCAACTGGCCTCATGGACCTATATGTCATCCAACTTTTATAAACAACGCTGCTTCTTGACAATCATCTCTATCAGTATTTGAGATAACTCACCCCTGCCATCATATATATATAATTATAATATAAATCTTCAAGCACCTTATACACTACGCTTTAGGAAGTGTGATACAGAAGAATACTTGAATGTGACTTTATTTCAAACTGAGACACTCTTCCCAACTTGCTGACTTTCAAAGCGCTGGTATTATAATATTGTGTGAAGTTCACCTGACCTGATTCAAAAGTAGGTCGCTAAGTTCAGTCAGGTTGGATCAACCTCCATGCTTTCAGCGCATGGCTAGTTCAACCCCGAACTAAACAAAAAGAAATCAAATCTACATTGAATACACATAACAATGGTTCGAATATACCCCGGCTCCGGCACTTTATAATATTTTATATGCTTGGGTATGGTATCTCGCACATAGCTACAGTTAGCACCTCGTGTCGCAAATATCCCGCTGTCACAGAAATGAAAATAATATAAATTTAACTTTTAAATGTTCCCGACATGAATAAGGTTCAACAAAAGGTTCGGTTGTGAGTTATTCAGAGGAGTAGAAACAAGTTTTATCTGTGATGACCCAAGTGAGGTTACGGCCAATTAAAGGGAAAACAATTAAATTATTTAACGCCGTGTTATTTCTGGGGATCAATCAAAAATAAACGCTAAAAATTGTATGCTGAAGATTGATGCTCTTTTTTTTATCTCTTGTTTGACATAAATGAAAATAAGAAGCTTGGAAGACATTAATTTATCACTCATATCCTCCTGTTTATAGTGGCTTACTTTTTTTCGTTCAAATTTTTAAGTTCTTCTTCAATTATCCAGGTTCAATATTGCCCACAGTTCGATCGACGTTTTTATTTTTTGTTTGTATTACAACTCAACCTGGGTGCAAGTTGTTTTAACTGAAAATCCCCAAAACGTAATAAACAATTTCTTATCGCACTTAGACCATAAACAACGATCAAAAATAGACTGTAAATTCTGATCTCAGTCATAATTCTGAAAACTTTCAACCATGGTTCTATTCGAACGATCATCTTGCACCACACAAGCAGTGAAAACAAGGCTCCATGCTTACGCTATAACCTTGACCTTAGATAGGCTTTGACCTTTTGACCCCGCTAACGGTTCCGTACAGAGTATCGGAGATGATAACGAGTTACGTCATCCAGACACCCGTCCAATGGCCCCTCGCTCTCTCGTTACGTGCAAGGGTCAATTTTGCCTATAAACACACATTATTTCCGTGTAATATTTTTTGGGGGGAAAACGACCCGTCTCACACCTGGTGTCTGTAATCTCACTTATTTCGCCCACAGCTGGAGAATTAGGTGCTAAACTCGACATGATTTGGGTCAAAATGACGTCGATGGTTGACGAAGACCGACATTTCCGAGAAAAGTTATACAAAGGGGTAAAACACTGTCAATGATTTTTCATTTTTCAATTACAAATTCTCATAAACAGCAGGAAAGTGGGACTGCTGCATTTCAGAGAAATGTCATTCAAAGGGGTAAAACACTGCCAACGACCATTTATTTTTTCAATGAACAATTCTCATCAACAGCAGGAAAGTGGGAGTGCTGCAGATCCGCTGATTCAGCCTAATTGGGGGGTTCCAGGTATCACTGAACATCTAAATAACAGACAAAACAAAATCAAATGGAGACTTACAGAAATTCACTTGTCCATTATCGTTCACAAGACGGTTTCATAACAACACGCAGAGAAGCCACAAGTAATGCATTCAGCAATAAAGAAAGCTTATCCTTTCACCACTTCTATAATTCACTAGATATATGTTTTGGAGCATTGAGACAATTCTTGCTTTGGTAGGTGGCTGGCCAAGTCTGAGCTATCAGGCCTACCCAACTACCAGACTCGGCACATTAGAATCCTGAACTAACCGGTATATCGGACCACACTACCCGTTTTTCAAGGTGTGTGTCAGATCGCATTTCGGAGTATCAGTCAGAACACCGACAGGATGAGCCCACGGTCGTCCTACAAAATTTGTTCTGGGGTATGATACTCCGAAATCCGACCTGACACACACCTTGAAAACGGGTAGTGTGGTCCAATATACCGGTTAATTCGGGATCCTTATGTGCCAAGTCTGGTTGTTGGGTAGGCCTGAGCTATGTATTTTCAAAATTTAAAATTTACAATTAACCTTTAAAGAAGCAACATGCCCCATAAGACAATAATTTGACATGAAACTATGTCAAAGGAGAATTTAATTAGACCTCAGGCATTTTTGAAAGCTTCAAATTAATGACAAAGGATGATATCATAACAATAATTAATTAATTCACTCCGTTCAGAAATGAATGCAAGGTAACCTGTCACCTCTCAGACTTTTATATTTTGGGCTCATCTCCAATGAAACTCGCTGAAAGTAATCAGTTTAACACACTAAGAAGCCTCCTCTTGTTTCTAACGAACTCATTTTATCGGCAGCATTTAGAATATTCTACTCAGCAGCGAGTGTGTGTTATTCTGTTCATCTGATTGCATTCAGCGAGAGTCAGTGCGGAGTTGGATCGATTTTAGTACACCGATAGTTTCAATCGGAATGAACCCTTAATTTAGTTGTGAAGACCACAAACAAGAAATTGGCCTTCCATCTTGTAAGAAACAGATGCCCTCTCCATGATTACAGGCAGCTGAAAGCTACACGTTTACTAAACTCTGTGACGCTCTTAACGAGATATAGATTACCTCACTGTAGTGGCACTTTATCACTAATAATGTAAAATCGAAAGATTAAGTCTGCGTTTTAGAGAAAACCCAGCCACTCGAAAAGACTGGGAAACAGCTGATCTGTCTGCTGCGTTTGTGGAAAATTAGGTCAACTATTGAGTAATCCAATATGGCCGCGCTGACCAAGGGTGAAGCCACCCGCGGTAAAGCTTAAATAAAAATAGCTCTCCCTGCGCATAGTGTAAAAACAAGCACCATTAGCAAATGTGCAACAGTATATGGTTCAATAATAAAATAGCCACAGCTGTTACTGAATATTTGTTTGTCGGATTAGCAAGGTACAGAAGGACGCCATGTTGGATCTTACTGGTCACTTGCACGAGACCGACAAATGACCCAAATACTTGATGAATTTCAGTCACGGCAGCAACGTGTCGCCTTAAAAGAAAACTTTTCAGAAAAAATCATATGTTTAGTTTTAAGTTAGATGAAATTAAAGGATGCGTTCCCTTTGCAAACTGTTTCCACGTGGCACAGACGCTTGTAACGCAGCAGCTAGATCACACAGCTGACTTGGTGCAAACAAGTAAAATATAATCTCGTTTTCCCAGGTCGGGTCGTTATGAACGAAGCGTCACCAGTCTTAAGTCGCCATTAGCAAAATCAACTTACCTTGTGCTTTGAAGGTTTAAAATAATAGATAAAAAGCGGAATGTGTGCACCGGTTCCCTATGACGGCTTGACAAAGCACTTATGTTGGTTGCGGTGTAACCGGGAGTTGATGCCTTGATGGAACTGGGACAAAATGGCTATTAAATCGGCGGAGTCCACTTGGACTGAGCTGAAAACAAATAGGGGTGCTACGTATATGGCACGAAAATATATTACCGGTTATGCTCGAGTTATTTTAATATGTCAGTCCTTGTTAAGACGAGATAAACAGAACAAGAAAAAAAAAGAAAAATACATATGCTTATGTGCATCATGCGAATGGTATGACAGTAGCATATGGTGAAATATGAACGTTAGCTTTGTTTTGTCAGCGGAAACATGGACTGGACCAAGCTGACCCCTTAGTGGACCGAGTGATCAGTCTGTTTTAGGGGAGAGACGGAGGAGAATGGATATTTACAGATTTTTGTAGTGCGTAATGATATACGTGCGCTTAATTTGAATGCTGTTTGAATTGGTGGCTTGTCGATTTATTTCACTCGTATTATGGGTATTAGATAGACACTATCAAATTCACGATAATAAGTAAATTTAGAAAAAAAAATTTAAAAAAACTGACTTTTAAGCTAATACACTGTAGAGTTCACAAATATAGTTCCCAGACATGTTAATTAATTTGACTGGAGTCGCTTGCTCGTGCACTCGACTCGTTTTATGGTCTTACCTGTAATTATTTAACGTAAGTGGAGGTGTGCAATTTGAATGATGAAAATCAGTAGGCCCTATGTACCCCCAAATATTGCGACACTGATAAGAATTACGTATATCAGACATTCAGAATTAATACCGGAGGTTCAGATTGAGAGGGACTTGAAGGAGGCCACTCGACAGAGCCATGGGAGATGGTTTAGAAGTTGGAGACTTCACGTAGATGATGAACCAGCTAGCTAGAGAGCGTCAACAAATAAACCATTAAACTGGTCATTATGTGTCCTTGGGGTTTTCTTTGAGCGACTTTACTTAAAGCTGACGCGAACAATGGAATCGCGGATTGCGTTTTGATCCCTATATAAAAGTTATAATACCTAAATATAAAAAGATGTCATTACAACACGGTACAGGCAATACAAACGGTGCAATATTATAACGTAGGCTACACTTGTGAGTAACCAAAATATATTATGGACGATGAGCTATTCCAAGAGTTACAGTTTGATATAGAAAACAATGTTATTCCAATAATATTGTTTATAGCTCTTTAGTGGTTTTAAACACAGTTTTATAGATGCACTTTAAGATTATTCATGTGTTTTTTTTTTTCTGTTTATGTTTAGTAGCCTTAATGCACTAGCGAAGTCTAATATATTGCTTTTTGTAGTTAGACACAGTCAGATCTTGCATTTTGTTGTTGTAGGCCTTAATATTGATTCTCAAATTATATTGAATTTAAGCTGTGCATCATGATGACCGAACTAAATAGGCCTATAAATTATGCTTTTATACTAGGCCTATCCTATTAATAATGCCTGGCAAAAGTAAAACAAAGTTCTAAGTAAGCAAAAAAAAAAAAAAAAAAAAAAAAATCTTTGTCCTCTCCCTCAGCAAATGGTGCAAGCAGTCCGACTACCTATTGCTGTATTGTGTTGAGATAAGGTCTGCGTTGCACAACAGTAACTGTGTTAGATAATGCGGCGCGCCGAACTCACGTTGTGTATACGTTTTTCACACATGCTCTAGGACTAAGATATAGGGTTACTCAGAGGTAACAGCTTGGTGTGAATACGAACGTGAATGTTGAAGCACAAGGAAGTGAAGAAATGTCACAGTCAATAAACATTGATTTTTTTCTCGTAAATGTTCGAGTTTTAGTGTCAAGAGACAGTCTCGGACAATGGCGCTGAACAATAGAGGGCATGACCTTTAATGACCCCTACCAGCTGCAAAGTTAGAGACGGAAAAGGACAGGAATAAACACCGATCAGCCCGGGAGCCACTGGTCTGCCGCTAGGTGGCTATTAAACAAACCGGAAGTTCGAGAATTTGAATTGGGCAATATTTTTTGAGATTTATAGGGTGTCATAAACGGTGTATTATCTCGGCTATTAACGTACTTGGGGTTACAATATGTACATTGTCATATTGAGAAATAAATTTCGAATAATGTGAGATGACCCAAAAGTTGATCTACAGCATATTTAATGTTGAAAAATGAGTTTGAAATCGAAATTTTATTAAAGCTATTACGGAAGTTCGTTTTTGATTTTGATTTTTGTACCTATAGAGGCCTCCGCACAACTTGAAATTACTACAAGTTGTGGAAAATTTATTCAGCTTTCTGTCAATGTAAGCATGTAAAGAACTTTGCCTTAAGCTGTGAATGGCACAAATCAATTCACGGCCATGTCAGCCTGAAAACTCTCACTTACGATATCCGCATATAAGCCTCGCTTTGACTTAGTGCTTTCTCATGAGCTTCAGTCTCGTTTTAGTTTTTCCTTCACACAGTATTACTTATATAGAGCAACTGGGTATTGGGGACAATGAAATAATTTTTTTCTTGGCACTTACCACGGTGCTAATACAAATGAACTTTAACATTTTTTTTCATTGTAGATAAACCTTTTTATTACATGAGGCCAACTGATGAGGGTATTCCTTTCATTAAATATGAAAAATAACAAATGAAAGACAATTTACATTTAATCACATTGCTATATATTTTATTTTAATTTTACATAAAATTCAACTAGCCTGAAATATTTTACCAGTGAGACATGTACATTGCAAAATAGTTATTTTACATTACATTGTACATTAATTACCCAGTAGGTGATAATTCAATGCTACTTTACTTGATTGGTACACATTTATATATATTTAACCATCTAACACACAATTTCCCTTTACACAGTGGACCAGAATTTTTACAAATAATATAATTTCATAAATTTTCCCAAAGATGTCATGTTAATTTTCTTTCAGTGATACCAGGTATCAATCCATATTTGCATTTGAATAAACTTGTTTTACTTGTATTCTGATAAGTAGATATTATCTATAAGCTACACATATATAAAAAAACCTGCACAGTAAAAATAAAACAATGTATTGTTAACTTAGTTGCACATACACTTTTAACTAACTTCATGTGGTTAAAACCTAAATTGATTTCACAAACTGCATTTCTATGTACTGATAACCAATAACTATTTATATTAGCAAGAGCACATATTTTTCATCCCTTAGAAGTATCCCAGAGGTTGTGGTGTTCATTGCCACACAGCATTTGGAAATGATGGGCGCTTTTGTTATGATAATTGCACGGCAAAAGGAATAATCCTGGTCCCATTCATGCTATTCAAGCCTAGAATAAATAATAGAGTTTTTAAAAGAATATCATTAAAAAATTCTAACTACATTTATCAATTGCTCACACACATACACACTGAAATTAATCATAATTTATTGCAATCTTTGTAATAGGTAAACTGTAACAATCAATCTTAAACAGCACTATATTTACAATCTTTACCTTAAACTGCACTATTTATACTTAATTCATAACAGTGATTATTAAAAAAACATTTGAAACTGAACTTTGGGCAAAGTTGCACACCCATCATAATTCAAAAACCCAATTTGAATCAAGGCATGAAAAAATTAGAAAACACATGCAAGTCAGAGCACCACATCACTATCATATGCCCTCATCATTGAAGAGCCTGTTTCATTTAATGTACATACACACATACATATATTATTCACCTTTTTTAAACTTGCATTTTTATGACATTCTTCTCCTCAAAACCCCCAACCAATGCAATAAAACTTATTTTGTGTTTACCCCGCCCCCAGCAAAAAAGACATAATTTACAATTCATATATTTCAAAACATGCCTAGGTTAGTTTACAATACTGTATCTTTCACAACTACTGGTACCAATGCCCCCCCCCCCCCTCCCCACCGCTTTGCAAACAAGTACTGGTACACCACGATATGCACATACGTATACGTGTATGCAGGTTGGATGACAATGTTATTTCGCAATCCACTTCATCCTTTTCACATTAAAACACGAAGAAATTGCATGAGAAGCCAAGATTCAAACATTTCACTTATACGGTGACATTCATTCCATGCATGAGACCAGAAAGCCACTGCCATCACTCGATCAACTAAATGATAGGTACCCGGCACGGTGAATATACAGCTTGTTGGAAATGTTGAAATTCTACAAATTACAGGCCATCGCACATCTTAAAAATTTGATATGTTCAAAAAATATTGCCAAACTATGAAAAAACAGGAACAGATAAAGAAAAAAACCCTTAAGCTGCATTTGGCACAGTTCAAAAGTCAATGTTTACAATGACGTTTTGTGTGCGGCCATTTTGCTAATCGCCAGTAACTTTAGAGAATACTCAGTGAAATCGATACACGAAGACTTATTCGGTGTATAAAATGTAACTTAAGCATATACTGTATTGTCCCGTCAAATTCATTAGTATTTAAATCTACTGTTCATTCCACAAACACATGTACAACTTACCTGTCTCTATGCCTTCGTCTCCCGCCAAATTTTTTTGGGGCTACCACTCCACGTTTTGAAAACGAGGCCAAATCTAATATTTTCCAAAATAACCGTCAAATCGGCCAGTGGCTCCCGGGCTGCGATATAGCGTGATTCAAACTTTGCGTGAGAAACCCATGTTGGTTTTTCTTATTTAAAAGTATTATATTGAGAGAAGAAGCACGGGCTTCTAAATCAACTCTAAATCAACAACAGCAACAACGTGAATATTGATGATAACAATAATTAAAATAAGAAAAACACTAATGACCACAAAAGTTATAAATTATTGTTATAAAACCATACAGTGTTGTAAATACAGACTTGACATTTAATATGGAATATTTCAGTTTCGAAGGTATGCCTAGGTAAAAATTCGTTCTTTTTTAAAAAAAAATCCGATCTCATATAATATTTGTGAATGGAGAAGTGTGTAGTCAGGTGTGTCGCTACCAATTTACTGATTTCCATGTACATTATGTAATATGCGGTGATTTAATTGGGTAGTGTTCCTTTGGGCTGGGCAATGCTTGGCTTAGGCAAAGCTTGGTTCTGTCAAAAAAAAGTATCCGTATG